CCTCCTCCTCCTCCTCCTCCTCCTCTTCCTCCTCTTCCTCCTCCTCCTCCTCCTCCTCCTCACGCGGGGTGCATTCCCTTGGCGAACCATCTCTTTCGCACGACTCGAGGGGATCTCGCTCTCCCTTCCCAAGATGGCCCCCCCCTCCCTCCACCGCCCCACTCCCGATGCGAGTCCCGCGAAACCCGGTTCCCGGGCGGCGGCGGAGGAGGAGGAGGAGGAGGAGGAGGAGGAGGGAGGAGGAGGGGGAGGAGGTTCCAGGAGCTGCGTGCTGCGTCGAGCTGCGGTGCCGGGTGCCTCCAGAGCCTCCAAGGGCCACGGCCTCACATTGAGAGGTGTGCGTCGGCCCCCCAGGGGCGACACGTGCGCTGAGACATCCTGAGGTATGTCTTAAGTCGGGCGTGTCCCTCTACAGGAGGCACGTGCAACATATATAATAAATAGTCGGGGGACGATGTTTTGAGTATTTTTGCATATTCTTTGGCATTTCAGGACTTTTCATTTTTCGTCCAAAATCCTCCTGTAGGAGGACACGCCCGACCTCCAGGTATGTGCGCGGTGACGGGTGCTTTCTGGCCATGCTGCCCGGATGACGACACACCTGTCACGTGCTGGTGCTGCATGTTCGGTCCTGACTTGCGCTTCCAGCGGCGGCGCAGTGTCGGCGCCGCCAGGTTCAGCCTGTCCGAGGAGCAGGTGGCGCACCACCTCACCCGGAAGCAGCTCACCCAGGAAGGCGCCCCGTGGCCGCCGCCGCCCAAGACGTCCGACGGCGTGGCGGTCCTGCCATCCGCGGCCCCAGGGCTTCCGACCGCAGCCATGCTCGCGTCGTGAAGGAATCGCGGCGGAAGGTGTTCGGCCGTTCTCGGCCGGTTGGGGCCCTCGAAGGGCCCTGGGACCTTCAAGCACGACTCAGGAGGAAAAGCCGGTCCTGGGGAAGGGGTCGAGACCCCTGGAGGCCACGTCGTGAGCAAATAGTGACGCCGGGGGCCTGTGACCACTGTGCTGGGGCAGGTCTCTCCCCCGGATATATTTTCGATGGCCCCAGGGGCCCAGAACCCTGGCCTCTAGAGGCCGAGGTGAAGGAAAAACGCCCCCGGATTGCACAAAGCCAATTCTACGGATGCCTGGGGTCGCCGTCGCCGTCGTCGGCGCCGCTCCCAGACATCTGGTGTCTCGCTTGGTTCGAGGCGTGGGCCCCCGACTCCTCGACCACTCCCCCCAGATCTGTTTTCCATCCCGAGTCGTTTTCTGACGGTCCCGAGGCCCGGGGAGGGCCCCGAGGTGGAGGTTTTTTTCTTCCGAAGGGCTTAGGTACCCCGTCCCCTTCCTCCTCCTCCTCCTCCTCCTCCTCCTCCTTCTCCTCCTCCTCCTCCTCCTCCATTTCCTCCCCCTCGGGTCGCCTACGGCCCCGGGGGAAACCGTGCACCCCGAGGGACCGAGCACGACGAGAAGCTTCCCCCTTCTGGACTTCTCCGAGCCGGTGGCTGTCTGGGTGCCCCGCCGCCGCCGCCGCTCCCCGTCGCCGCCGCCCGGGGAGGCAGCTCCTCCCCGGGAGGGCGCCCCCACGAGGCGCCCGCGGCCTGCGCGCGCCCCGCACGAGCCCGGCCGCCCCCGCAGAGCCGCCGCCGGCCGCCGCCGTGTCGCCGCCGCCGCCCGCCGTCGCCGCCGGCGTCGGCGTCGGCGTCGTGCCTCGTGCCCTTCTCGGGCAGGCCGCGGGCGCGGGCGCGAAGCGTCGGGTGCCGCGTGCTCGGCGTGCTCCCTGCCCTGCTGCCCCCTGGCTGGCGCTGCCCCTCCCCGCCTGCGAGCACGCGCCTCGCCTCGACACCCGGGGCGGAGGCGTGGGCGGGTCGCGTCCCGCAGCGCGAGGAGGCCGCCGCCGCAGCCCGAAGGGGCCCGGGTGCGGCTGGTCTGCTCTGCCCCTCTGGGCCCCCGAGGAAGAGCCTCGCTGCTTCCTGCTCCCGCTCTCCTGCTCCCTGCTCCCTGGTCCTCGCTCCCGCCTCCCACCTCCCCCCTGGCGACCCGTCGTGGTGCACGGACCCGTTGACCGCCGTCCCACCGTTCTCTGAGGATGGAGGGGACAGGGGGCAGGAGAGGACGAGAAGCTGGAGGAGGAGGAGGCGGAGGACGACGACGGCGGACGACGGACGACGGACGACGATGATCGGCGACGACGACCGACGACGGACGACCGACGACGGAAGACGGACGTCGGAGGACGGACGACGGACGGCGGACGGCGGACGGCGGACGGCCGACGGCGGACGACGGACGATTGGCGGCGGATGGCGGACAGCGGACGGCGGACGACGGGCGACGGACGGGGGACGACGGACGACGGACGACCCAGACATCTGGCGTCTCGATTTTTTCGAGACGCGGGCGCCCGACTTCGCGACCACTTCCCCGAGACTGGTGTTTCGTTCCGAGCCTGTCTTCGACGGTCCCGAGGCCCAGGGCGTGCCCCGAGAGCCCGAAGACTGAAAGGCCCAGGCTAAGGTAGAGTGACAGTCCACAGCAATGGCAGCTTAAGTCGAACTCGAGATCTTTCCGTCAAGCAACGTGCTGGCTCATCCCTCTCCTGAGCGTTGCAGTTTCGCGCCAAAATGTTGCAGTGACGAACGGATCGACGAAGCACGTAAGATGTGCGGCCAGCGAGACGAGCGGATATGGGAGAGATATCAATCGTGCACAACCTGCGTGGCGTTGCAGTGGCAGCCCATGCCAAGAAACACCCTGTTTGCCTCCAGGGCGCCCTGGGCTTCTTGGGCCTCGCTGGTTTTGCTATGGAAGGCGTGACGCTCCTACACCAAAAATCCAAGGACGTCCTGGGGTCTTAGGGGGTTGGCTTTCTTCTGGAAGGTCTCTTGTGGTCGGGCTCCTGCTGTGGGGCGGACGACGGGCGGCGGATGTCTGGGGACGGACGACGTTTTGATTCTGCCGAGGCGGGCCCCCGTCTTCTCGACCACTCCCCCGGGACCGGCTTTTCGGCCCGAGCCGCTCGCTGAGAGGCCCAGCGAGGGCCCCGAGACGCCGACAAAAACGACGAAGGTCCCAAGCCTCCGTTGCTTCGGGGCGCCATCTTTTTGTCGAGACGCTGGGCGTCTGGGGTTAGTTCGGGCATGTCCTCCTGCAGGCGGATTCTGGAGGATACTCAAAACATATCCAAGCATAGCCAGAAATAGAAAAGTCGTCCCAATTTTTATATACATATCGAAAAAGACAAAACATTTTTTTTTGAGTACTCCTCCCGTGGAGGGAGGTGCCTGACTCAAGTCCAGGGACGGGCGCCGCACGCGGGACGACGGCGAGCACAGCGCCGCGCCCGCCGCGGCCCGGCCAGGTGCGCGGCAGCTCTGCGCCCTGGCGCAGCGGCTGCAGGCCCAGCGCGCGGAGGAGCTGCAGGCGCCCCGCGCGCGCCGCTCCGGGGGCCGGCCCCGCGCCCGCCGCTCGGGGGCGGCGGCGCGGCGCTCCTCCGGGCCGCCCAGATGGGGTCGGCGTGGGCGGGGTCGGAGGATCGCGCCGCAGCGGCGACGCAGCGCCGATGCGGCTCGGTGTGGAGCCCGCTCTGCTTCACGTCGACGTCGCCGATGCATCGCCCGCGTCGACGATGCATCGCAGGTGCATCGCGGGTGCATCGCCGATGCATCGGCGATGCGGCGCGATCCTCCGACCCCGTCTACTCCGACCCCATCTAGGAGGCCTCTAGCTCGGCGGCCACCCGCAGGCTGGACTTAAGTCGGGCATGTCCCTCCTGTCCCTCTACAGGAGGAAGATTCGAGAGCAGTCAGAAAAATGCTCTGGGGACGATTCTTCGACCATTTTATGTTTACGCTTTGAGAGTATTATTTGTTTTTTTTCCGTCCCAAATCCGCCTGTAGGAGCACATGTTGTTCGACCTAAGGCTGGACTCCGAGGCTCGGGGGCGGCCAAGGGGGGGCTCATGACCAGGAAGGCTGGTTTTTCATTGCGAATCGTTTTAGGACGGCTCTAGAGCCTGGCGAGGGATTCGGGGTACCCAGAAGTCAGATCCCATGGTTAATTCGGGCATGTCCCTCTACAGGAGGAATATTCAAAAACAGTCTAAACATAGCCTGGGGACGATTTGTATTGTTTTTATGTGGGACCATTTTTGAGCATTGTTTCGACTATTTTTTAATTTTCGTCCAAAATCCCCCTGTAGGAAGACACGCCCGACGCAATCCCAGGGCCGCTTTTTCGTTGCGCGCCATTTTTTCACGGCCTCCGGGCCTGGCGAGGGCCACCGGACGCCCCAAAACGGCCAGAACCTCGCGTCGCGAGTTTTGTCTCGCGGCACGAGTCTGTGTGGGGAGGATCTCAGGGCTCGAGTCTCGCTCGTCTCGGCACGAGCGAAATGGGTACGGAAAGAATGGGTACAATGCCCAACAGCAGTTCCTATTCATTTTGGACAGGACTCGCTGTCGGTGTCGCCGTGGCCTGTGTACATTTGAGGCAGAAGGCCGCCTGCCCAACAGCGGCCGCTGTTGGTTTGGGGCAACATTTGTTGTTGGGCATTGTACCCATTTTTTCCGTACCCATCTCGGGCGTCCAAATCGTCAGACCTCCCCACGCTCTCTTGTTTGTGTGTGGTCCTTTCGTCGGTGCCTCAGAGGGTCCCACATTCTTTCCGGTTTCGGGGACTTCGTCAGGATGTCGGATCCGGTCGACTTCTGGACGAAAGCTGGAGACGACAGGCTGAAGAGGGGGTGGTCGAAATCTGGACGAAATCCGGTCGAATTCACGTTTATAGTAGGGCCGCGGGGGTCCAAAGATCGCAGGCGATTTTTCTCCCCCGACCCCCGACTTCTCGACGAAAAATGAAACCGCTCAGAAAAGGAGGAAAACCCGAGGATACCCCCCAAGTTGGCTATTCGGACGCACCCCTATCGAGGATGGGCGCCCCACCCCATCGTATATCCCAGGCTTGGGCCCCGAATCTTTGGTTTCCTGTCGGAAGCCTCCCAAAGCCCGGGCCAGGGGCCGACATCTCCCCTGCTCTAAGAGGCTCCCATGAAGGCCCGCCCAAGGTCCTCCGAGGCTTTGGTTCGCTTCCACTCCTGGGAGGTTGAATTCTGACTTTGCCCTGGTCCGAAGTCCAGCTTGATCCGGCTTATTCCCGCTTAATCCCGCTGAGTCCCGCTTCATCTGGGTTAATCCCGCTCAATCCGCGGCCTCATCCAGCGTAGTAGCCCCCCAATGGGGCTTAATCCTCCGTATTCCTTTGGGGGCCCAAACAATATACACCACCACCACGTCGATTCCTCCTCTCTCCTCCACCCTCATCTTCCCTTCCTCTTTCCTGTGAGAGGGAGGGGGCGAGGGAGGTGGTGGTGGTGGTGTATATTTTTGGGCCCCCCACTCCTTCCTTCCTTCCTTCCTTCCTTCCTTCCTTGGGATGAGCTCCGAGGGCCGGCCCCTCGACGCCCTCCCCCCTCCTCTTTCTCGGCCTCCGGGAGGCTCCCCGTCGCCACGGCCCAGGTCCGCTTCGGGGCCCCTGCCGGAGCCCCCCCACCCCAACTCGCCGCGAATAATACTAATAATAATACTAATAATAATGATAATAATAATAAGAAGAAGAGGAATACTAATAATATTAATAATAATAGTAAGAAGAATTAATAAGAAGAGTAATAAGAAAAATATGAAGAAAATTAATAAGAACAATACTACCACCACTACTACTACTACTGCTGCTGCTGCTGCTACTACTACTACTACGACTACGACTACTACTACTACTACTACTACGACTACTACTACTACTACTACTACTACTACGACGACGACGACGACGACGACGACGACGACGACGACGACGACGACGACGACGACGACGACGACGACGACGACGACGACGACGACGACGACGACGACGACTACTACTCCTACTACTACTACTACTACTACTACTACTACTACTACTACTACTACTACTACTACTACTACTACTACTACTACTACTACTACTACTACTACTACTACTACTACTACTACTACTACTACTACTACTACTACTACTACTACTACTACTACTACTACTACTACTACTACTACTACTACTACTACTAATACTAATAATAATAATATCAATACTAATAATACTAATATTAATAACAATAATAAGTTTTGTTGGGGCGCATGGGCTCCAGCTCAGTATCGTTTATCCGATCCCTACCCCCTACCCTCAAGTTGGGCCTGCCCTTCTACAGGAGGGATACTCCGCAATTGTCAAAACATAGTCTAGGGACTATTGTTTGACTATGTTTGGGGATCTTGGGACTATTTTTTGAGTACTTTTAATTTTTCGGCCCAAGATCCCTCTGTAGGGGGACAGGCCCGACCTGACCCTATCCCCACTGCGCCGTGGTATCTCAGCCCCGCCAGCGTACCGCCCCAGTTGGGGCTGGCCCCCTCGAAGCCCGAGGGGAACGGCCCCCATCCCCCACCTGGGGGGACACCTCGGCTGGTGGGGCCCTTGGCCACGCCCGTGGGCATAGGCATCGGCTAAAAACGATGCTCCTGCTGCTCCTGGGCGCGGCGGGCTTCCCGGAAGGCCCGCCCCTCCCCGGAGAGCACCGCCGCCGCCCTCCCCCCCCCGGGAGCTCCCCTTCGGGCCGCGCGGGGGCTGCGCGCGCAGGTGCTCGCCCGGCTGCGGGAGCTCGACAACGAGGCGCGTGCCCGCGGCCCCTCCTCCTCACTCCTCCTCCTCTTCCTCCTCCTCCTCCTGTTCTCCTCCTCCTCCTCCCTCCTCCTCCTCCTCCTCCTCCTCCTGTTCCTCCCTCCTCCTCCTCCTCCTGCTGCTGCTGCTGCTCCTCCTCCTCCTCCGCCTCCTCCCACGCGGGGGCTGGCCGGCAGGGGCGTCCTCAGATCGGGTGTTGCCAGCAGTGTCCCTGGTCCAAGGAATCCCTGGTCACCCGCGACCGAACATTTCGGTCGCGGCGTTCGGTACCATCATTATCGCGACTGGTCTTAAGTCGGGCGTGTCCCTCTATAGGAGGAATATTCAAAAATAGCGAACAAATAGCCTGGGGACGATTTGGGAGTATTTGTTTGACTATTTTCGAATGCTTTTCGAGTGCTTCGTCCAAAATCCGCCTGTAGGGGGACATGCCCGACCTAAGACTGGTTCCCATTTTCGGTTGCGGATTTTCGGTCGCGAACGGTCGCGAACGGTTCTTCGGTTTCGGTCGGTCCCACTTTTTTTGGTCGCGGCGCATCGTCGGTGCATAATACCCGCCAGGATCGAACTGCCGATAGGATCAGCCGCGACCGCTCGCGACCGAATACTTTCGGTCGCGGATGATATGTGTGGGGTATCGGTGCAGAATACCCGTTGGGACCGAGCTACCGATAGGATCAGCCGCGACCGTTCGCGACCGAATAATTTCGATCGCGGATGATCTGTGTGGGGCTTTCTGGGCCTCGTGAGGGGTGCTTTCAGGCCATTTGAGCCTTCAGGAAAATCATTGGGCACCTTGGGATAGAGACACCTTTGGCATCAGAAGTCCGCCCCGACCTGTCGCAGGCGTCGCAATCGCTTCTGGCCAGATCATCCACAGCGACAGCTCGGAGCAGAGGGTTCGATGGGTCGATGGCTGAGCTGCCTATGCGTCGCAGTCGACCAGCCAGAAGAGAATCGTTTTTACGGGTCCTTCGATAGTTGGAGGCGATGCTTTGCCCTCCGCCCTCGCGCTGCACCAGTCTGCTTGTGCAGCGCAACCCGAGGCCTGGCGAAGCCCGCGCGCGCTCGCACGCTCGAGCCCCGCGCTTTCCCTGATCGCACGTGTCATCACTCAGATAGCCAATGTGCTGTCTGGGCGCTGGCTTCTTTCTCTCCTTCGTTCGTTCCGAGTCCCCTCCGCTCCTCTCGGCTGCGCTCGGGAGGACCGACGTGACTTGACAGGTCGATGGTTGATCCGCCGATGCGTCGCAATCGACCTACCGCAGGATAATCTATTGTGCGGATGCTTGGATACAGTCGGACTGAGCTAGAAGGTCGAGGTCGGCTCGGGGAGGGTACCCTAGTGTTCTTCGTGCTTGTTGGATGTTATTGTGCATCCTGGGGAGGGTACCCTTGCATGTCCTGCCTGTTTTGGCCGATGGAGGGTCTCGTGCCCCTGAAGGATGCTCTTCTGGCCTAGGTCCGACTGTGGTTTGAGGCGGGCCCCTGAGTCTGAGTCCCCTCCGCTCCTCTCGGCGGCGCTCGAGAGGACCGCCAAGGTTGGGGACGGGACTCTCTGTGGCCGTCTGCGGCGGACCGAGGATCAGCGGCGAGCGAGGGGGGGAAGTGAGAAGGGGCGGGCCTTCCCAGAAGGCTCGGAAGCCTCCCGGCCTTCTGAGAAGGTCTCTAAGCCTTCCTCCAAGACGCAGCAAATTTCCCAGAAGGCGCGAGGGCTTCTGAGAAGTCCCGCCGCCTTCTGAGAGGGCCCTCTCCTTCTCACTCCCCCCCCTCGCTCGCCACCGAGAGGAGGGGGCCGAGGTGGTGCTGGGGCAGTCTTTCGGGCGGGCCCTCGGAGGCGACGGCTCTTGGGGCTCTGCCTGGAGGCTGGGCGCGGGTGAGGGTGTCTTGCTACCGCGGGGCCCCCTCCTCCTCTTCCTCCTCCTCCTACTCCTGCTCCTGCTCCTGCTCCTCCTCCCCCCTCCTCCGAGGCCCTCAAGGAACGACCCAGGCAGTGTCTACTTCGAGCCGATCGATCCGATCTGATATCGATTTCGGCCAGCCCGATCCGACTGGATTCCGATATTCGGACGATCCGATGCGGGCCGATGTTTGCATGGTGTTTCTAGGCCTCCTAGATGGGGTCGGAATAGATGGGGTCGGAGGATCGCGCCGCATGGCCGATCCATCGCCGATGCATCGGCTATGCGGCTCGATGTGTGGCCCAATTTTGTCCACGCCGACGTCGCGGCTGTATCGCCGACGTCGCCAGTGCATGGCCGATGCCTCGCCGATGCGGCGAGATCCTCCAACCCCATCTACTCGGACCCCATCTAGGAGGCCTCTTGTGTTGCTGTGCATCCTGGCGCAGCCGATCCGATTCGATTTCGACTCCGTGCCGATGCAGCCCGATCCGACGCACACTTCGATCCGATCCGATTGCCCGATTCGATGCCGACTGATCCTGCCCAGGATGACCCTCCCCCGCCCGCCGCCCGGAGGAGGAGATCAGGTTGGCAGGTCTGGGAAGGGGAGAGATCAGGCCAGAGCGTTCCCAGAGTGCTCCCAGAGCGTCCCAGGTCGCTCTGCAGCGGCTCGCAGAGATTCTCATTTCTTTGAGAACGGCCGATCTGTCCTTCTTCCAGCCATCGTCTCGGATGTGGGCCCAGGCCTCCTCGATGCTGCCGTTGAACAACTCTCAAGGCGACCATAGAAGCAGGATGCAACTCCTGGGAGATTGGTCTTAGCATCGTCGCTGGTATATCTGGAGTCGAAGACCTGCTTAATCTTGCATAGTCTTGCCAAATTCCGCCTGATCCCGCCTAATCCGGCTGCGTGTCAATCCAGCTTGATCGTAGGCTCATTCCGAGCTTCTCTGGCTTATGGCCCCTCATATCCCCAGACATGCGGTCTCCTGATTTTCCATGCGCGGTCCCCAGAAGTCCCAACACTTCCTCAGGGCTGGTTTTTCATCCCGGGTCTATTTCTGACGGTCCCGCAGCCTGGCGAGGGCCCACGGAGGCCCAAGACGACGAAACAAGATGTGTCGCACGTCTGGGGCTCTGGATCGTTTTTACGAGGACTTCCCACGTTGCCTCCCCAAACTCGGGCACTGCGACAACGCCCACCCAGACAAGTCGACTGAGGAACTCTGCACCAATTCTTCGAGTGCACCCGTGCAGTCCGCAGTCGGTTTCGCTAGACGACGTGCGTATCGCTGGTTACAGTCGGTCGTTTTTGGACGTCGATGAGCCACCCCGCTGGGGTGCACTTGGAATGCAGTACCGTGCGTACGTGCAGTGCCGTTGGCAGCTTTCACTCGAGGGCGTTGTGTCAAACGGGTTTCTGTCCCCGAGACGAATCAGGGCGCTCAAAGAAACATGGCCCAGAGGGAGGCTCGCCTCGCTCTAGGCCTCCCAGATGGGGCCCGAGTAGATGGGGTCGGAGGATCGCGCCGCATCGCCGACGAATTGGCGACGCGGCTCGACGCGATTCTATCCACGCCAACGTCGCCGATGCATCGCCGATGCGTCGCCGATGCATCGGCGACGCCTTGGCGACGCGGCCCGCGCCCTGGGTGTGCGGAACACCCCAGCTTTCGGGGTGCGGAGCGCCCCAGGGGGCGCCGCCAGAGGCGGCGCCAGGGTGTTGTTGACCGCCCTGGGCTCTTCGGGGGGCTTGTTGGTGTCAGCTGGGGCTGCTCGGGGGGCCTGTCGAGGCCAGCCGACACCATATCGGGGGGGCTGACAGTGCGCAAGCCGAAGCCATTCCAGCCGGGCCTGGGCATCTGGGCTTTGCAGGTTTTTTCACACACATGTCGATCTGGCTCGAAGAATGCCGCAGATGGGGTCCAGGGCTCCGGTCGTGATTATTCGCGATGACGCAGTTTTCCTGCAACGTCGGATCTCGGGGAGGGTCGCTGCCAAGAGCGCAACCGTCAACACTTCCCGTGAGCTCCCTGTGGAGGTCCAGTAGAGTGTAGCCTTACACGAACACAAATTGTTTCGTGCTGCCATCCCTGGGCGCTGCCAATTGCGCAATCGTCGGCGGTTTCGTCATCTCCCGGGAGCTCCAGCGGAGTGCGTTCCTGTGCGTATCCGCTACTTCTCCCTTCCGTGGGTGCTGCCAAATGCGCAGCAGTCGAGGAGCCGGCGCCATTTACGGGAGTTTCGGGAGGTCAGCGGGGTGACGTGCTCAGATCGAACTAGACCTTGCCTACCTGGGCGCCACTTTCGTGAGTTCCTTGGATGTCCAGCCGGGTCTTACGCGGACCCGCCGCGGACCCAAACTATTTCCCCCCTCCTGGATGCTGTCCCTTGCGCATCTGTCGCCACTTTCGTGAGCGCGGTGGAGGTTCAGGGGAGTGATGTCCGCATGGGCCGGCTGATGTTATTTGTTGCAGATGGGTTGGGTACGTCATTGGGTAAGCGATGTCGTTCGCCCTCTTCGAGACCCCAGGAGGCTTCTCGCCGCAGCAGCTGGACCCTCCCCAGAGTCCTGGCCAGAGCGCTCCCCAGGACTCATCTGGGGGGCGGTCTCCGGCTCCAGGACGGAACGACTCGGGACGGCAATGGTCTTACCCTCTTCGAAGGCCGCCAGGCCACATCTTCGTGCACAGAGGGGCCATCAGAAGAGTGGCCTGGCAAGAAACGCACGTCAAGGGTTCCATCGATGGTGTTTCGAGTCGCCCGGGGGAGGGCGAGGAGGCAGAGGAGAAGGGGGGATGATGAGGATGATGATGTTGATGATGATGAGGATGGTGATGTTGACGACGAGGATGATGATGATGATGATGACGATGATGGTGATGATGATGATGATGGTGGTGGTGGTGGTGATGGTGTTGGTGATGGTGATGGTGATGGTGATGGTGGTAATGATGACGATGATGATGATGGTGATGATGCTGATGATGATCATGCTGCTGACGCTGCAGATGCTGCTGCTGATGATGCTGCTGCTGATGATGATGGATGATGCTGATGCTGATGCTGATGCTGCTGATAATGATGATGCTGCTGATGATGATGATGACGATGCTGATGATGATACTGATGATGCTGATGATGATGTTGATTAGGATGATGGTGGTGATCATGATGAGGCTTCTGACGATGACGATGGCGGTATAGATGACAACGATTCTGACGATGATTGTGATAATGAGTATGATGATGACGATCATGATGATGGCGATGATGATGCTGCTGCTGCTGCTGATGATGATGATGATGGTGGTGGTGGTGATGATGATGACGATAAGTAATGATGATGCTGATGCGGCTGACGCTTCATGTGCTGCTGCTGATGCTACTGCTCCTCATGATGACGGATGATGCTGATGCTGATGCTGAGGCTGCTGATGATGGTGGTGATGCTGATGCTGCTGATAATGATGATGACGATGATGCTCATGCTGGTAATGATGATGATGCTGCTGATGATGACGATGGTGATGATGATGATGATGCTGATGATGCTGATGATGATGATGATGATGATGCTGATAAGGATGTTCACGATGACGATGGCGATGTCGATGACAACGATTGTGACGATGATGGTGATCATGCATATGATGATGATGATGACGATGCTGCTGATGATGATGATGATGATGATGGTGATGCTGCTGATGCTGGTGATGATGATGATGATGATGGTGGTGTTGATGTTGATGATGACACGGTGATGATGATGCTGATGCTGATGCTGACGATGATGATGACGATGCTGATGATGTTGCTGATGATGCTACTGCTCCTGATGATGATGGATGATGATGGTGATGCGGATGCTGATGCTGCTGATGATGATTATGATGATGGGTGATGATGATGATGATGCTGATGATGCTGATGATGAGGATGATGATGATGATGATGATGATGATGATGATGATGATGATGATGATGATGATGATGATGATGATGGCGACGGCGACGATGATGCTGTTGATGACGATGAGAATTCTGATTCTGATGATGATTATGCTGCTGCTGATGATGATGCTGCTGATGATGATGATAAAAATGGGGTTGAGGCAACTGACGATGAGGAGGAGGCCGATGCGGACGACCCCGATGAGGAGCATGCGACTTGGGACGATGCTGACGGTGATGATTATGCTGTTGGCGTCGCTAAGATAGCGTCCGATTTGTCGCCGCCTTCCCGTTTATTCCACGCTATCCTCAACCGTGGAGGTAGTGTGCATCGCAGAAGCCCTGGCAGGGGAGTAGCGTTCACAGAACGATTCCACGCCCAACATGCAACTTTACGATTGAATCGCACTTTATCTTGGCGACTCCAACCGTATCACGATAGCTATTCTGATTAGATCGGCCTGGAAGCTGCTTCTGCCGATGAGGAACATAGTACGAGCATGGGACGCGGAGGCGGGGTGCTGCTGCTGATGATGATGATGTTGATGCTGATGGTGAGGTCGATGATGCTGACAGTGACGATGATGACGACTACGATAACGATGTGACTGCTGATGATTGTGATGATGGTGCTGTTGATGACGACGATGATGATACTGATGATGCTGATGATGATGATGATGCTGATGCTGCTGATGATGATGATGATGACGGTGGTGATGCTGATGATGCTGATGACGGTGTTGGTGATGCTCAGGATTCAGATAATGCTGGTGGCGGGGGTGTTGGTGATTAATTGCGGTGAGGACAGCGTCGGCGATGACGACACACATGCATATTGTTACGATGGTGGTAATGCTGGTACTGGTAGCGGTAACGCTACTGAGGCTTATGCTGCTGCTTTTGCTGATGATCAGTATGATGACAATGACTATGATGGTTACGATGGTGGAAGTGGCGGTGATGAGGGCGGTGGTGATGTTGACGATGACGCCACCGACGGCTGCGACGGCGATGCTGATGATTACGTCAATTATGATGGTACTGGTACTGGTACTGGTAATGATGATGATGACGACGATGACGATGATGCTGATGCTGATGATGATGATGATGATTTTGATGCTGGCGATTATTATGATGATGATGCTGCCGACCACGACGATGATTCTGCTGCTGATGATCATGATGCTGATGGTGGTGGCGGTTGACGATGATGCCGATGGTGGTGATGGTGGTGGTGGTGTCGATGTCGATGTCGATTATGATGCTGCTGATGATGATGCTGACGATGATGTGATGTTGATGATGGTGATGATGCCGACGGTGATGCTGATAATGATGATGATGCTGATGCTGACTGTGGTAATGAATATGATTATCATGATGATGCTGATGACTGATGATGATGATGATGACGCTGATGATGATGATGCTGATGCTGCTGTTGATGATGATGCTGACGATGCTGGTGACGATTCTGCTGCTGACGATGATGAGGAGGCTGATGCTCATGATGGTGATGATGCTGCTGATGCTGATGCTGCTCATGACGATGTCGATGTCGAGGCCGATGATGCTGATGCTGATGCTGATGCTGCTGCTGATGATAATGAGGATAATGACGATGCTGCTTCTGCTATTGCTGCTGCTGCTGATGACGACGACCACGACGATGATTATGATGGTGATGCTGCTGATGATGATGCTGATGATGCTGATGCTGATGCTGATGCTGCTGCTGCTTGAGTGCTGATGCTGTTGATGATACTGATGCTGCTGATGATGTTGATGATGATGCTGATTTTGATGACGATGCTGATGCTGCTGATGATGATCATGCTGATGAGAATGGTGATGATTATGCTGCTTATGACGATGATGATGATGATGCTGATGACTGGGATGCTGATGATGATGACGATGCTGATTATGATGCTGATGCTGATGATGATGCTGATGCTGATGGTGAGGCTGATGATTCTCGTGATGATGATTTTGATGATGACGGCGACCTGCATGAGGAGGAAGAGGATGAGGATGAGGAGGAGAAGGATGAGGACGAGGACGAGGAGGTGGAGGAGGAGGAGGAGGACGACGAAGACGAGGATGACGATGATGCTGATGATGATGATGCTGCTGCTGCTGCTGATGATGAGGATGAGGAGGAGGAGGAGGAGGAGGAGGAGGAGGAGGAGGAGGAGGAGGTGAGGCCGAATCATGCCGCCGCGTCGCCCACCGCCACGCACGCCCCACGGCCGTAGGCCAAGGACGAGCGGATCGCCGTCCTGGAGCGCGAGATCGCGGAGGACAAGCACATCCAGGCCGGGAGCGCGGCAGGAGGAGGAGGAGGAGGAGGAGGAGGAGGAGGAGGAGGAGGAGGAGGAGGAGGAGAAGGAGGAGAAAGGTCGAAGAGGAGGAGGAGGAATGTCGAGGAGGAGGAAGGTCGAGGAGGAGGAGGAGGAGGAGGAGGAGGAGAAGGAGGAGGGGTAAGCCTCCTCGGCATGCGGCGGGCCTTCTCAGACAAGGCCCCGTGGCCTTCCGAGAGAGGCCGCGTGTGGCTCCGAAGCAGGCTTAGCATCAGGTCGGGCATGTCCTCCGAGGAGTTTCGGGCGGGTGGCAATGGTCAAGCAGTGTCGAAGCGTCCTGGCTCGCTACAGTCCTACCAAATAATGGTTTAAGAACCTTTGTGGCTTGCACGAAATGTTCTCAGAACATTTCTGGTTGAGACGGTCGTGTTTTAACACATCGGGTTAATGTTCTAAGAGCACTGCTCTTGTCTTTAGAGCATTCTTGGGTTCTAAGAACACTTCGTGGTAGGGCTATCGGAATGCCGGGACGGCCGGCCCCTGCTCAGACTGGGGGGCGAAGAGAAAGGCCCTGCACGGAGCCCTCTGGTGGCCCCTCTTCGGGGCCCTGCTGGCTCCAGACGGGCTCCCAGAGGGTCCCTTGAGGGCCCTCTCCCGTTTTCTACCGTTTCGGCCATCGTGAGTCGATCTCGCAGGCGGCATATTAATTTCTGAATTATCGATCGCATGATCGAGCGGTGGCGTGCAGCGGCGGCGGCAAGCAGGGCCGCGCCTCCCTGTAGAGGAAGCGGCCGCAGCGCGGGCCTCGTTGATGAGGGCTGAGGGCCCTCTCCTCCCCCCCCCCCCCCATGTTACGCCACTCCCCATCTACCACCCGCCCAGGAGGTTGGGAGGATCGAAGAGAACAGACAGCGGCACAGGCATCTGCTTGCGGAGCTCCGCGCGGATCTTTTGGGTCCGCACTGGGACCCCCTCCCCGGCGCGCGCCCGCCCGACCGAGGACTCGCCAGCCAAGGACGACGACGCGGCACGGGTCGCAGAACCAATTGTCATATACATAATTTCTCGGTTATCTGCGCAGGCCTCCGAATGTCGACGTTTAGCAGTTTTCCCCCCCTCGATAAGAGGTGGGGGTGATGGCGGGGGGCAGGACGGAGGAAGAGGTGGCTGGAAGGGGGGTCGAAAGAGGGGTAAGGAGGGGTGGGGAGGAGGAAGAGGAGGAGAGAAGGATGATGAGAAAGAGCGTCTTCGGAGTACGCCCGGCCCGCCTACCTAACCGACGGACTTGCCGGCAAGCGATGACGACGACGACGGCGGCGTCGGCGGCGACGACGCCGACGGAGACGGCGACGACGCCTGGCGCTGGCAGACGACGACGAAGACGAAGACGACGATGGCGACGGCGACCACGACGACGACGGAAACGACGACGACGATGACATCGACGAAGGCGACGACGACGACGGCGGCGACGGCGACGACTACGACGATGACGACAACGACGACAACGACGACGTGTTCCGCCCGCCCGCCCGACCGATTCGCCCACGAAGACGACGACGTGTCCTGCGCGCTGCCCGACCTGCGCACTCGCCGGCAAACGACGATGAGCATGACGACGACGTTAGGAGAACCAAGAGTGACATAAACATACAAACTCGGAGGTCCGCGCGGATTTCTCGGATCGGCGCTGGACCCCCCTCCCTGGCGCGCGGAGCGCGCCAGGGGCGGCGCCGGAGGCGCCGCTGGGGGGCCCCAGCGCCGATCCGAGAAATCCGCGCGGACCTCTGAGTTTTTATGTTTATGTCGCTTTTTGTTCCCCTAGACGTTTCCCGCCCCCCACGCCCGACCGACGAGCTCGCCAGAGAACAAGCAGCGGCATAAGCACACTCTCCCGGAGATCCGCACGCACTTCCGAAAATCTACGTTTACGCAGTGTGCAGTTCCTTCTTTACAGGGGTGGGGGTGGGGGGTGGGGGTGTTTCCGACCCTGTCCCTCCTTCCGACTCCGACTTTCGCAGGGTAAGGGGTTCGCATTCCCCCCCCGACTGTCGGAATGGGGCGTGGGGGACGGTTGGGGGGGGGGTTCTCGCCAGGGAGAGGGTGGGGGCGGCGGTTCCAGAGAGGGGGGGACGGATTTTCGATGTGGGGTTCCTTGTTCCAGAGCGGGAGAGGTTGTCTTTTTTCACCAGTGAAGCGTGCACAGAAGACGCTCTCTTCTGATAACGAGGACGAAGGTAGTAGCATTCACAGCGAGCAAGTTTGGATAGTAGACGGGTGGGGGAATGGAAAGAGGGGTGAGGAAGGTCTGCAACCGCCGTTCCGTCTCGAGCTGCCTGCGGCTCAAGTCCTTGATTCCCACTTACTTCCTTATTCCGTTCTCTAAGGTCAATATACGTGCGCGCGACAGTCATGGTCGCGCTCTCACGCTTCGCCCTTGTCTCCAGCCTCGGACTTCAAGGGACAAATACTACAGTAGTCAAAGCGCTGGAGTGATACAGTCAAAGCTCACGCCAAGGACGCACATATGTCCTAAAGGTGCTTCTGCGTCCTTGCCTTTGCGGCCCGTCCTTCACGGTTTTCCCTGGCCAGCCCTTCAGGGTGTTGGCAGTCCGCCGCCCAACAAATGCCAACTTCGGCGTCGAAGGTCTTTGCGTCCTGACCGCCCGTCGTCACTATAGATTTCGACTTTAAAGTCTCTGGTTTCCGAAGGGGTTTCGGGAGTCCTTACGACCTTCCGCAGGTATTTCTTGGGCGACTCTCCTACAGGCCCAACGTGAATTTGGTCCCCACTGGACCGTTTCTTGTGGGCGTATCTTATCTGTGCCGTACTGGCCAGGCTTGGCCAAAGATTTTACGCTCCAGGAGTGCCCCGATCAAGCCCAGATCGCACCCTCTTCTTCGGTGTGGTGAGCATGTTTGCCTCACTCCCGTTCGGTCGATCCGTTCCGAGGTCACTTCTGTGTGGCTCGATCCGCTTCGGCCTCGATGTCCTGGCGGTTCCGTTCGGCCAGCTGCGCGGGCTCGGTTGTGCATGTCAGAGCGGCCGCTCCGACTCGATTTCGATTCCGTGCCGGTGCAGCCGATGTCCTCGATTCGATTCACATTCCAGCCCGATCCAGCGGATCGATGTTGACAGGTGGGTGAACAAAGCGATCCCGAGAGCGCTGCTCCCCGTGCTTCTCTGGGGGTGCGTTCTGACCAGGATGCCGAGGCTAATCCAGCCGTGGCGACGAGGGACCCCCAGAAGGCCCTCGGAAGGAGAAGACGGGGGAGGGGCGTCGGCATCGGTGTGACTTCTCCACCCCCTCGGGGACTGCGTCCTCGGCTCATCCCGCCTCAGGATTCGCAGGCACCGCGGCGGTGCAGATCTCGGAGCTGAAGGCGAGCGACGGCGGCATGGGCGGTGGCGGCGGCGGTGGCCGCGGCCGCCAGACGCCAGAGGAGCTGGGCTTCTCCGACACAGGTGGGGCGTTTCGGAGAGGGTCTCGCTTTCGGCGCAGCCTCGCCTTCGGAGGGATGCCGGCGGAGGGGTGGCGCAGGTAAGAGCGTCGTGAGTTGCTGCTTTTTCTTCTCCTACTGTTCTCCCAGTTTTATGTTTTTCTTCTTCATCTTCTTCCTCCAGTTTGTGCTTTTTGTCTTCTTCTTGTGTTCTTTTCCTCCATGGCTCAGGGCTGGGCCTCCCTTCGCTGGGGAGGGTGGCGGCAGCTGCAGGTGTATCTCCCTTGAGCTCCTGGGGTGAGAGCCTTCAGCAAGACGGCGCGCAGATTGCTCACCGAGCACGGTCCGCAACTCGCAAAATGCTTATTCGCAGACGTCCAAGAAAAAATGCCTTCGCCTATGTACGGGATCGTAGATCCCACGCGGCGGATCCAGGCCATTTGCGAGTAGTTACTTTGCGAGTAGTGGAACGCGCTTGTCTAATTGCTGCAATGCCGAGTCTGACCGGCTCCTCGTACTACAAACGCTGCACGGCGCGCGTTACCCAGCACCTCGTATTGAAATTATGCGATTGTGTGAGGTAGGAACTGTGCACACTGACTGACTGACTGACTGACTGTCTGACTGACTGACTGACTGACTAACTGGCTGACTGACTGACTGACTGACCACTGACTGATCGCATCCGTTACGCGACGGTTTTATTTTCGGCGGCCGAGGGCGCAACCTATGGCGCAACCAACAGGACACGGTTTAATTCTCGGCGGCTGAGGGCGCAACCCAGGCGCAACCAAGAGGAGACGGTTTTATTCTCGGCTGCCGAGGGCGCAATCTATGGCGCAAGCACGAGACGGTTTCAGTATCGGCCGCCGAGGCCGCAACCTGTGGCGCAACCAATAGGAGACGGTGGTTTTATTCTCGGCCGCCGAGGGCGCAACCTATGGCGCAACCAATAGGAGTTTGTTTTACTCTCGGCGGCCGAGGGCATAACCTATGGCGCAACCAATAGGAGACGGTTTTATTTTCGGCCGCCGAGGGCGCAACCTATGGCGCAACCAGTAGGAGACGGTTTGATTCTCGGTGGCCGAGGGCGCAACCTATGGCGCAACCGATAGGAGTTGGTTTAATTCTCGGTGGCCGAGGGCGCATCCTATGCCGTCTGCCGCCGGCCTCTGAGACGAGTTGTGGGCACTCGAGTGCGTGCGGGGCTACGCCCGATTTATGCTCGCCGTTAGGGCTGGCGGTGGGGCCCAAGCGGCGAGCTGTCTTGTGATTGAGTGAGTGCTGAAACGTGCGCGGGTGGGATTCTGCCGAGGGGGGGCGAGCCATCTCGGGCTCCCTGTCTGGCTCTCCGTGTTCGCAGCGCAGGTGCTCTGCACTTGTCCTGGCCTTGCTTCTCCGGAGGCGCCTGCTGCTTTTCTGTTTGCTCCTGGCGCCGTTCTGGGGATGCCCCGCCGTTGCCTTCAGAGGGCACCGAGTCCGCCAGCTGCACTCTACCCTCCTCCAACTCCTCCCTCCCTTCTCCTCCTCCTCCTCCTCCTCCTCCTCCTCCTCCTCTCGCAGTGGGCGGAGGAGGTACAAAGGGCCATGCAGGCAAAGGCAGCAGCATTCCGAGGCCACAGGCTGGCACGGCGACGATCGAACTGCGAGATCGACTGGTTCGCATGCTAGCCAACACTACGGACCCTGTTGTCAAGAATAGCCTCCTCGCGCAGCTGGAGGAGCTGAACAAATCAGTTGCGAAGGGAGGTCTCGAGCAGAATGCCACAGATGCGGTCAAGAAAGCGGAGGGCATCTGGAAAGATGTCAACATGCGCCACGACCAGTCAATTTCCAACGTGATGAGGCTGCGCGAGCAGCTGTCCAAGGCGGAGACCAAGGAGAAGGAGCTGGCGCTAGAGCTCGCGGCGGCCGAGGTCGGGGGGCGGCTGGCGGCCAAGGCGCTCGCGGTGGAGACGGGAGTGGCAGTCGAAGCCAAGCCCGACGACGCCCAGCAGCAGAGCAGCAGTGGATGGTCGCTGCAATGGGACGAGGAATTCTTCGCCAAGCTCGATGAGTACGAGTGCGAACCCAAGGAGAAGGAGCAGCTCCTGCAGCTGGAGCGCGAGCTCAAAGGGGCACGCGAGAAGTTGCAGGAGCGCGGCTCGCAGGTCAACTAGTGGCGCGAGCAGTACGAGACCATGCAGAAGGCCATCACGGAGAGGATGGCCAAGAAACGGCGTGCAGCACAGGGGGCAACTCCTGGTGGCGGAGCGGCGGCGGCAGCGGGCAAGGACGAGGAGCCCAACGGCGTCGGCGGCAGCGGCACCAGTGGAGGCGCAGCACCAGCAGCAGATGCGACGGCCTCAAGTTCAGGAGAGGGCGCAGAGCAGCCCGACCTCACGGCGGCGGTGGCCAAGCTCTCCGAGGCCAAGTTCAAGGCCAAGGAAGCGTACCAGATCGCGATCGACGGGGGAGGAGGACAGGATGCGTGAGCTGATGGTCGGCAAGCCGAGTCTGGCGGTTTGCCGAGAGCCGAGCAGTTCCAGACACAGTCGCTGAGGTCAGCGACCACAGCCGCGGAGATCTGTGACCCCCTAGCCCCAGCACCCGCGAGCTCCAGCAGCCTGGGGCATCGCGGTGGTGCTCGGGAGGCCGCGGCGGGTGTGGCCAGATCTTCCGCGGCACAAGCGCTACAGCATCAGTCGTCTTCTGAGCCTCACGGGGACCCCCGTGACGAGGCAAGCTCTTTTTCGCACTTGCTTTTCGGCAGCGTGGCCTGCCTAGGTCCTCAAGCGTCGCAATTTTTGACACCAGAGGGAGTTCAGGCTAAGTATGAGTACTTTGCTATCGCCGGGAGTCATGTTGCTGCCAGCCGAGAGTTGCACTGGACCAAGCAAAGCCGCAGGTCCAAGCTCAAGTCCTTTTTCAACGCAGCCAGGCCCAGGCACAATGCTGTCAACGCTCGGGCCAACGAGGGAGGAGAAGCCTTTTTCTCGAGGGGTCACCTTGCAGTGCATCGAGTAGGCGAGCCAGGGGATTTCAGCCCTCTTTGTGACAGCGAGTGTGAAGCTTTAGACGGGTTTCTGCCAGTCACCGTTCACTTTAAGGTGTACACTGTCGTCATCATAGTGTACTATGGCATCTGCGGGGGCATCAGTGACGAGGGAGCGCAGAGGCCCGTCAAATTAGGAGCCTTTGTTGAGGCCCTCCAGCTCCCGTGGATAATCATTGGCGACTTTAATGTTTCACCGACCACTCTAGCCAGGAGTGGGTTCACCGGACGTGTGCACGGCGTAGTGTTTCGATCGTCCATCGAATGCACATGCGTCACAGGGTCTGGCAGTTCACACATAGACTTCGTGCTGGCAAGTAGGGCAGCGTGTCCGTACATAGGGCAAGTGGAGGCGGTTTTGGACGTTCCCTGTGGGGCCCACTGTGGGATCAGTCTGTCTCTTAGGAACGACGGGGTACAGCTTCTCACTAGAGCCCTTCATGTACCTCATAAGCTCCCTCAGGTCTCGAGGCCCAGCGCTCTCCCTCAGGCTAACAGCAAATCCCAGAGGGCCAAGCGCGAGCGGCAAGTAGCACGAGAGCAGTCGCAAGTTAAGTTTCAGGAAGCGTGCACCCAGTTTTTCGATGGTCTTTTGTATGCTGACGGGGCCCAGGGGGCCTCCCTGGGCGCGTGAGCCACCAGTGGCTCCGCCGAAACGGAGTGCCCTAGCGACCATTTTTTTTTTTTTTTTTTTTTTTGTTTTTTCTTTCCCCCCGACGAGTTTGAGGATGAGCCAGATCCGTAGGCTCACGAGTCGGTTTTTGCCAACGCGGCTGTGCGCGCTGATGTAAAAGAGGCCGTTCCCCCCGCAGTGGTGCCCACACCCCCCAGAGGCGGAGACAGCACTGTAGGCAGTGCCCCAACTCCCATCTCTCCCTCTTTCTTGATTCTTGCGGAAACTTGGTGCAATCACAAGGACAGAATCGGTGTCGTCGCCAGCCCCGAGTCTGAGGTGTGGGGCGTGATCCGAGCTTCGCTTGCGTACTCTGTGGGGGGTCCTCACATCCAGGCTGTCCGTGGCATGTTCTCCACGTGGGTAAGTATTGCGGAGGCCGCCATCTTAGATCATCATGAGACGTCAGCAGCAGGACGGGAACGAGCTGTCGGACCCCGCCTATCAGTTGAAGTGGTGCAACGTGCGGAGCACTTGCGCACGCAGCCGCTGTCAGATGCCATTGCAGGGTGGTGGGCCAGGCTTTACGCCGTGCTCGCGCGTTTTTTTTTTTTTTTTTTTTTTTTTTTTGTGTGACGCCGATTGCGTCAAAATGGAGCTGAGCAGATTTCTCAGCTAGCGGATATTTGTCGAGTTCTTGTCAACGATGTTCCTGAAGGGGCTCATGTGGTTATCCCAAGTGCTCAAGGGGCGCCAGTCTGGAACCAGTGGGTCGACGTCTTGGGGTGCGCGGAATCTTGGGATCTTCAACGTTCGGAGGAGCTCAATAAACTCTCTCAGAAGGCTTCTAGGGGGGCTCGTGTGAGAGCGATGCACGCGTATTTGGGGCGTTTCCAGGACTGGATCGTCGAGGAGTCGTCGTTAGGCGTCATCCGCAAGTCGCTCGGGGAAGTCCCCCAGGCCTCCGAGGAGCTCTCTGTCAACGGCACTAGGATGTTTACTCCCAAGGACCTCATTGATGCAAAAGTCAAAGGCTGGCACAAGCTATGGCGCGCATGAGATTTTGATGTGCAGGAGCTCGATGCGTTGCTGCGCCAGGTGCGCGAGGCCACGCAGTGCGATCAGATGCCGCCATTGACGAACGAAGATGTCCGAGGTGCCCTCAGGCGTATGAAAGCACGTGCTGGTCTAGGGGTGGATCGACTTTCGCCCCTCGGTTTTGAACGCTTACCCGGGTGCGCCATCACTGCGCTCGTCGCCCTTCTCACCGCTATTGAAGAATCACTCACCTGGCCCTGGCAGTCATTACTTGTCATCAGGAGACTCCTGGCTAAGAAGAGTGGGGGTGACCGTGTTATCGGTTTGGTAGCCATGTTGTGTCGTGTGTGGAGCCTCGCTCGGGAACCGCGTGCCAAAGCGTGGACTGTGGAAACCTCCCCCTCTTGGGACGCCGCGATTATAGGTAACAGTGCCCTCAGAGAAGCGTTTGTTCGAGCTCTAGATTGCGAGCTTGCAGTTCAGCTTGGTGGCACCATCGGAACATCCATTTTGGACATCAAGAGTTTTTAAGATCAGATTCGATTGCCGAAGTTGCTCAGTGCCGCTCTCCGCTTCAATTTCTCGCCCGCCCTCTTGTTCCTCGAGCTCCAGATCTGTCTCCCTCCTCGTGTGCTATCTCAGTTGGGTGCGTATGCAGAAGGCTTCCAACCATCATCATGCAGTATCGTGCAAGGCTTGCGCAATGGCACGCGTTTCGCACGGTGTATGACAGACTATGTGTTGCAGAAGCTGGCGATTGCGAACCCGAGCATGAGCGAGCGCACGCGTATTTGGATCGATGATTTGAGCCTGTCTGCAGTAGGGTCACGCAAGCAAGTGCAGATCGTGCTCGTTACCAGCGTCGCCTCAGCAGCAGCAGAGTTCAAGGAGCACGGGCTCCAGTTGGCCAGCAAAAGCGTCATTCTTTGTTCAGATCACGGCACGGCCAAGGCAGCAGTACATCAGTTGAAGCTTCGTGGTGTTGAGGTCCAGCCAGTATTGCAAGCAGCGTACTTGGGGGTGGACCAGGGAATGGGCAAGCGGTTAGCGAGGAAGACTAGGCGGCAGCGGGTGGTTAAAGGTGGCACGCAACACCAGAAACTTCGGAAATGCGCACATGCAGCACGTCGTTATCGCGTTACCAAAAGGGTTGAGCTTGCAGGACCACAGGCTGTTTCCACGTACGGTATGCAAGTGTGCGGCACTTTCGGCACGCAGCTCTTAACCCTGAGACGTCGTATCGGTTCGATCGCTGGTGCGTCGAAGAAAGGTAGATGCCTAACTACTTTATTAGATATACGTGTTCCTGGGCGTGATCCAGGTATTTGTCTTCCAGTTGCGACAGTGAGAGAATGGGTGAAGGTGTGGGTTTCAGATTCGCAGTTCCGTGAAGGCATGCGCAGGGCGTGGCCAGCAACAGTTTCTCAGTTTAAAGCTTTCGGAGTTCGCGCGACATGTGCGGGGGCCACTGAGTGCGACAGTGGCTAGTCTCATGCGTGTGGGTTGGGGCCCAGTCCTGCCCGATCAGTGGCGCGTTCCAGAGGCGAACGACAGAATTAATTTCGACTGGCAGTTCAATGATTCGCTCGAATCGATCGATCAGGCCAGGGACATGCTCGATGATTTCGCCTCTGCGAACGCTAGCATTTTAAGACAGGAGGCGGCCAAGCACTTCTGTGGCGAGGGACTCGCTGGAGGTGCAGACAATCACTCTCTCAGAGCTTTGCTACTCAAGCTCAAGACTGTCGAGAAGGGTCGTCAGCTGGTGGAAGTGTTAGTGAACATATGTGTAGGAGGATCTTGGCCGCAGGCGAGGAAGAAGGACGAAGGTCTGATTTCGGATGACACCTGTGTACGATGTCGGGAGGAGCCAGAGACGCCTCGGCACAGGCACTGGCTATGTAGGTGCAACACGGCGCACCCTGTATTTGAAGAAACTGATGAGCTTGTAGTTCAGGCTCTCACGCAAGGAGATGCTACACCATGTTTTTGGTATCGAGGGGTTATCCCCAAGCAGTGGGCGGCGGTGGATCCGCCACCTCAGGTCGAGGCTTGGAAGCTCTTGGGGACCCCAGAAGGCTCCATAAGTCGTGGGTGATTGGGCACGGGCTCTTGGGAGGCCCCCCTGGTCCTCTTCGGGGGCGCCTCAGGGGGGCCTGAGTCGCGTGACGAGCATCTTAGGCGCGTGGGGTTCTCGGTGGTTTCTCTCGCGAGTCACGAGCCTCTGGTTATTGGGCCCTCGATCGCAGGACCTCTTGTTGGGGATCTTCAGTTAGTTCGTCGAGGCGAATTGCGGGGGCTTGAAGTTGCCGTACGTTTCAGTCGTGGTGTCTTGGTTTACGTATCTGATAATCGGGCTGTAATTGATGGGTGGCACAAGCGTGCGTACCTCCGACCCCAGGGAGAGCTAGGGCCGATCTGGAGGGAGATAGGTAAGCTCCTCGAGACCCGAGATCCCGTCTTCATTACGGTCATTTGGGTCCCATCACATCTTGACGTGCGACAGGCACGTGATCAAGGCATTCCCTTTCAATTTCTGCTCGGCAGCGCCGTAGCAGATGAGATTGCAGGCGAGGCAGCCAAATAATGGAGGGTCAATGAAGGGCAGAGGGCTAGAGTTTGGGACATCGAGAGAAAAGCAGCTATGGTGCGAAGGCGACCGATGAGAGCACAATTTGCAGCGATGGCAGCCGAAAAACTCTTGCCTGATCGACGTCCCGCGCCGCAGGTTGTGGAAGGTGATGTTCCACCCCCTCCCCCTCCTCCTCTCCCCCCGCGGCCGCCCTCGGCCGCAGCCGTCGCCGCGTTCAGCACGCGCCACGTGCTGGACGACACAGGCGCCCGATGCTCTCGCTGTTTCTCAGCCTCCTCGAAGGCCGCCAGATCAGCCTGGCTCAATTCTGAATGTGTCAACCCACACTTTGTTAATGATGTGCTGTCCCGTCCTGGAACTGGGGTTGGGTCCACGTCGGAGGGGGGTGGGTGCATGTGTCTCACAGAATGTTCTTTTCTCAAACAGCGCGTGCATGGCTATGTCGAGAATGTGGGGCCTGTGGCAAGGGCCAGCTCAGATCTCTCGCGAATCCGTGCAGACCAGACCTGATCACCCGCACACGGCGGGAGTATATTGATCGGTTTTTGAGGGGCCTCCCCCCAAAGCACAAGGCTTGAAGTGAGATGTGGATGTTGCTTCGCAACTGTTCTGATTCCTGATTCCTGATTCCCCCCACCCCCTCCTCGTCATCCTCCCTCCCTGTCTTCGTCGTCGTCCTCCTCCGAGCCTCCTCCTCCGCCTCCTCCGCCTCCTCCTCCTCCTCGTCCTGCTCCCCCCCCTCTCCCTCCTCGGGCTCCTCCCCTCCCGCTGCTCCCGGGGCGTGGCTCGGTGAGGCGGGCGGGGCCTGGGCGGCGGCTCGGCGTGCCGCGCCGGCCCCCCGAGGATCTCCGCCGGGGCGGCGCGCGCCCGAGCGGCGGCCGCCCCTGCGAAGGGGGAGCGCGAGCGGTGCTCCGAGAGGGCGCTGGGGCCCAGGGCACGGTCTGCGCGAGTCGGGCGGGCGTGTCGGGGGGGGGGAGAGACCTCCCACCCTGACACGTCGAGTAAGGACCTGGCCGTTTTCGGTTCGCGAGAGGGCGTCGCGGCCGTCATTTTTGCGGGTCCAGGTCCGTCGGTTTCGGTCCCCGACCGCTTTCACTAAGGGGAGGTCTGCTAAAGGGAGGTTTGTCCACCGCCGAATGTGATCGCCTCCGCGTCGTTGCCTGTTCGGTTCCTCGCTCTTGCCTGCCGCCGCGGCGGGTGTCGGGAAGTGGATGGCCAAGGGTCTTGCGTCCTCACCTCAGCCACGCGCAGACAGGGAGAGGGGCGAGCGGGGAGGGCTTCTAAGAAGCACCCCTGCTTCTTCGAATCAGGCGATCGCAAACATGGATTAAGGGGGCGCGGATTAGCGACGGGTCCCGTTTCCATGGGAAATCGCGGGTTTCCGCCGCCGAGCGAGGCGGCACCGGCCGCATTTTGGGGAGGGCACCTCCCCCGATCCATGGATTTGGCGACCGCGCGCCAAATCCATGGATCGCTAATCCATGTTTGCGCGCCCCCGAGTGAGATTAGGCTGTCGCGAACGCGGCGCTCAGCATTCCAGAGCGCAGCGGCGCCTTCGGGCCCTCGGGGTTCCAGGAGCGGCCTGGGCTGGACTCTGCTTCCTCCTCGGTGCCCTGTGGGCGGGCCCGGAGTTCTCTTCGGTGAGTCCATGGCTTGCCCTGGGAGTGCAGCCGCACGATCAGAGTGTGGGTTGCCCTGCTCGATCGGGCTCGCGGGCGCGACCAGGCCCGAGCGAGCCCTCAGTTTGGCCACGCGGTCCTTCGGCTTCTGAGCTTCTGTGGCGGCATCTTACCTTGTCATATCCTCCCCACTCCTGCACCTCCTCGTCCTCCTCTCCCCCCGCCTTCTCCTCGTCCCCCCCCCCCAGTTCTCCTCAGAACGCGGTTGCTTCCAGAGGCCACTCAGCCGCCAAGAGTCGTTCTGTCCTGTTTTATTCTCTTCCTCCTGCGCCCCCTCCTCCTCGTCCTCGTTCTCCGCCCCACCGTCCTTCTCCGCCCCTCGTCCTCCTCGCCCTTCTCGTCCAGAGACGCGCATCCTTCTCGCCTCCCACCCTCCTCCCCCTCCTCCCCCTCCTCCTCCTCCTCCTCAATTCTTGAGGACTGGTTTATTCTGTCGTTGTTCTGATGCTTGCCTCTTGGAGGCCCCTCTCTCGTCCTCCGCCCTTCTTTTGCTCCCCCTCCCCCACCCCTCCCCATCCTTTTCCTTCACCCCCAGAATGACGGCGTCAACGCGAACCATGGACGCTTTCTTGGTTATTGAAGACTTGGGACCTGCGGTGTGGTCTTGCTGCAGCTTTCGTCGCTGAGTGAAAAGATTACAGTGTGAAATGCACATACGAAAACAGTGCATCCACCTTCCCCTCTCCCTCCTCTCCCTCCTTGAGGTGACTCCGACGACGCGCAGAGCTACGGCAAATCGCAGTTCGGCGAGGATTTCTGTTTGGACATTGGCGCAAAGGGCTTCCCGATCCCTACGCTCGCGATGCTCAAGGCGGCCAACTGGGACCCAGCGACGTACTTTGCACAGCTGCAGGGGGCTGGCTACGCCGAGGATGCTTTACAGATGACCGGCCCTGACGCAGCCCTGCTGAAGTCGGACTGCATGAAGGAGCGCGCCCATGGAAGGACGAAGCACATCTTTGTTGGCGATTCCCAGATGATGTCCCTGCGCAACGCTTTCCACCGCCTCAACAAGTGCCCCGAGGTGTGGTGGTCGAACCACACCGAGCAGGACATTTCTGACATGATTGGGACGGTGCCAGGGACACGACACACCGCATGACCGAAGACCCCGGAGAAGAAGGGACCCCCCACCCCCTGATTCCCTGAGATTCGACCATCCCGGGCCAAGACAGAGTCGGTCGGGGGGACGGGGGCGGCGAGGCCGAGCTTCACTATCGCTGGGGACGGTGCGAACTGCTTTTTGTCCCCACCCCCGTGATGATCGGGGGCGTTCGGTGACACGTGACCTCTCGGAGGTCCGCTCAGGCTCTCGGGGTCGGCGCAGGGGCCCCCGCGCCTCGCATATCCCTGGCCGCGCCTCCCGCGCCGCCCCCCGCGGCGCGCCCGCGGCGCGCCGGGGGCGGGGGCTGCGAGGAGGGGGGGCCCAGCGCCAGCCCGGGGCTTCCGCGCTCCGAGACGGGAATTCATCCATATCCACCGCCCAGAGGGTCAGTTTTCGGAGCCTCGGCAGGCGGTGGATGTGGACACATTCGGGCCCCCGGGGGCCCAACTATACATCCATATCCACCGCCCGCTGGGGCACCAGGACGTCGGCTCCCAGGCGGTGGGTATGGATAAATCTCCGCCTCGCACGCGCGGGCCTCCGAACGTTTGCGGCCGTGCAGTCGCTGCTCCTTGCTCCCAGGTGCGGAGGAACGAGAAGGCCGCGGGCAAGCTGAAGAGCAGGGCCCGCTTCTTCTCCCGCGCCGAGCAGACTCCGGAGACCAAGGAGCTGCCCAAGGGCTGCACGGAGGAGGGCGTTGCGTCCTTCATCCAGTGGGACGGCTGGGTCAGCCACCAGCTGCCTGTGAAGGAGATCAAGAAGGAGATGGAGCAGGTCTCGCGAGGGACGGGCACATCCATATCCAGGCACTCGCGGTATGGATACTGAGGCACGGTCTCATGGGTACGCGATCAACTCATGGATGCGCTCCGCGCTGGGCATTCGCGCAACGTCTGCCTGTGTCCACAGGGTTCGTGACCGAGGAGTCCGTACCGCGAGGCCGTGCAGACAGATGTGCTGCCCGCGCGCGAAGGTCGGTGTGGATCCTGCAGAGGGGGACAACGTTGTGGTTTGGGTCGGCTCGAACTTCCTCACAAAGAACCACAGGATGGGCGCCCTGCTCCAATCCATCAACGCTCTCCACGAGCTGAAGGTCAAGATGGTGTGGGACTCGCCTACCTTCCACGACGAGGCCATCATGGCCGCCACGACGACCCACAGCTCTGGAGTCGACGCTCGCACCAAAACGCCGATCGTCTACAATGACATCGTTCAGCGGAAGAGGACCGGACGTATGGGCTCGAACGAATCCAGCTGCCTGCGGCAAGTCCCGCCACCGTGCCATCCCAGCATTCCGGGTGGCGACCGTTCGAGGAGGCACAGGAGGCCGTCATGTGTGATACCTTGCGTCTCCTGGCTCCCGAGAGACGTGATGAGGATGATGACGGTGATGATGAAGAGGATGATGATGCTGATGATGACGATGCTGATGATGATGATGATGATGATGATGCTGATGGTAACGTAACCTGTTATGAATCAGGGTGATGCTGATGATGATGACGATGATGCTGATGCGGATTATGATGCGGATACTTATGATGGCGATGACGATAACGATTATGATGATGGTGATGATGCTGCTGATGATGCTGATGATGCTGATGATGCTGTTATTGATTATGCT